TCTCTCTCTCTCTCTCTCTCTCTCTCTCTCTCTCTCTCTCTCTCTCTCTCTCTCTCGAAGATGACCGGTAAGGGGATCTTAACCCTTGACTTGGTGTTGTCAGCACCACACTCACCCAAGCGAGCCACGGGCCGGCCCAAGGGGATTCTTTTCAAAGTAGGTCTGGTCATGTTGCTCTCTGCTCCCAATTTCCGAGGGTCCCATCTCAGAATAATATCTAAAAGCCTTGCCTGGCCTGCCGGGCCTCACAGGATGTGGCTCCTGCTGCTTATCTGATCTCTCTGTTTTGCATGTAGCGTTGCCTCTCTCCTCCAACTGGAAGGTTAGCTCCATTGTGGCTGAGCCTTGTCTGTCTTATTCATTGCTCCATCCGCGTGTCTAGCCCAGAGCCTGGCATACACTGGGTGCCCAAAAATACTTACTGAATGGATGAATGGATGATACTCCAGCCAGACTGAATGACTCTGGTCCTGCTGCCTGGAACGATCCCCACTCACCCCCTCCCCTTTGTATAGCTCACTCATTTGTCAGATCTCAGTTTAGGTGTCACTTCCTGCAGGAAGACCTCCCTGATATCCTCTCCCCAAAGTGCTGGGTGCCCTCCTTGGTGGCCCAACATGATTTTTTTTTTCTTTTTTTGCAGCTGACTGGTACAGCTGGTAAGGGGATCCAAACCCTCGATCTTGGTGTTATCGGCACCATGCTCTAACCAAGTGAGCTAACCGGCCAGCCCCCCCAGCCCCCCCGCCACCCCAGCATCATTCTGCGTTGCTCTGACTGTTGCACTTGTCAGAAGCTACGGCAATAGTCTCCTTCCTTTCTTGTCTCCCCCATCAGGCTGTGAGCTCTTCGAGGACAGGGTTATGTCTATTTTCTCTGGATCCTTTCTGCTTAGAAGAGACCGTGTCAGGATGAGAGGCTGTAGGCCCTACATGCAGGATCAAGAATTTGGGCACCAGGCTTGCCAGGTTCTACTCTCAACTGTACCAGTCTGTCGGACCTTTAGTGCAATCCTTGACCTCTCTGTGCTTCAGTTCCCTAACCTGTGAAATGGGTACAAAAATAGTGCTTCCCTAGACTGCCGCTGTAAGGATGTCGTTCCCCTGACACAGAGTAAACGGTCAGTACGTGTTAGTTGCTAGCGTTTGTTGAAACCTAGTAAAATAGTCATTGAATCAATACATGAACAATTTTTATCTGGGAGTTTTGAGACACTCACTTTCTCAGGTTGTTTATGGTTTCTTTCTTTTTTTATTTTTGGCAGCTGGCTGATATGGGTATCCAAACCCTTGACCTTGGTGTTATGACACCATGCTCTAAACAACTGCACTAACTGGCCAGACTGTGTTTAGACTGTCACGCAGTGCTGTAAATCTCTTAGACTCACACACACCCTCATACCCACACCAGTGACCCCACTCCTGCTAGGGAACATGACTGAGCACTGCCCTCCTTTTGAGAAACCAGTTCCCCTTATTCCCCATCTCAGATTGCCAGGTCCTACCCGGCTGCCTTCTGGGTTGGAGTCCTTCAGCCAGCCTCCCTGCCATGCCCTCAAGTCTCCCCATCTGGTGTCTCGTGGCCTCCCAGTGACCTACATACTTGCATCCGAGCCAATATTACAGCCACCAACACATTCCCCTGCCCATCATGCTGAGGCATCCTGACCGCCCATCTGGTCTGCTGTGGAATAAGATGCCAGCAGGTGGCTCTGGGGAGGGTGGATTCCCACAGAGCTGGCTCCTTCTCATCTTTTAGATCGTACTCTAATTGTTGCCTGCTAGAAGAGGCCTTTCCCAAGCACCCCCATCCCTCTCCATCCTAGCATCTTATTTTAGTTCCTGCACAGCCCTCACCATTGTTTAAAATAATTTTATTTATTTGGTTACTTGTTTAACCCTTCTCCCCTCTCCCATCCCCAAACTTAAGTTCTAAGAAGACTGTGGGATCTTCTCCAGCATTTTACAGAGCCTGGGAGGTAGAGGATGCTCCATTAGTGTTTGTCGTATGAATGAATTTGTCTCTTTCCATGTGGAGGTGCTTCATCCTGTCTCTGCTGAGAGGATAGCAGAGCTAGGGAGGGAAGAGGCGTGCATTTGATGGCTGTTTCAGCTGTCTTTGAGTGGATCTAATGTTCTTTCCTTGATTCAGGCACAAAAGACGCCTACTTGGCTGGGGAAGAGAAGGCAAGCCCTGGCACTGTAGCCTCTGGGCATTGGAGCCTGGCTTGCCAACCTTGTCTTCCCATGGCCTGGCCCTTCCAGTTAATTGGCTTTCCCATAGACGCAGTAGGAGAGGACTTTGAGAGAGCCCTTGACTGTTCCCCAAGTTAAAGACCTCGCAGGCACAGCCTTCAAGGGTCTCCTGTTAGCTTCAGGAACCTCCTGAGGGCAGAGCGAGCTGGCCAGGAAAGAAGCTGGGACCTCAATCCCTCTGCAGGGTGGCAGGGTATCCCTGGCTTGGGCAAGGTGTCCCCTACCCACAGGGGTCTCCTGAGCCAGATGGGGCTGGTTTTCCCCACAAAATAGGATGTAGGTCTTCATTGGAGAGGTGACAGGTCCTTGGCTGGGACTGGGGGCTCGGGAAGGTACTGCGGGTGCTGCCAGGGAGAGCTGTTTCCCACGGGCACAGTCAATAACAAAAGTTAGATGAGCCGTGGGGATGGCCTTCTGTTGGCGGGCCAGCTTTCCACCTAGAGGGAGGAAAAGACCAAAGGTTTGTGCTAGCTCAAGCGAGGGACCTTAATTCATTTGTTTGTTCATTTGTTCATTCATTCAGTTGGGTTTAACTGAGTGCTGGTTGATACACAAAGGTAGGAGGAGAGTGGGGTTTAAGAGCATGGATTTCAGCATCAGAGAGATTGGGTTTAAATCCTGGCTTCTCCATTTATCAGCCATCTGCCTTCCGGGAGCACAGAGTCCACCATATCGGTGCTTCTCAGCTCTACTGTGCATGTGAATTGCCTGGGGATCTTGTTAAAATGCAGAGTCTGGCACAGAGGGTTTGGGGTTGATTGTGAGATTCTGCATTTCTTTTTTTTTTTTTTTTCCAAAAGATGACTGGTAAGGGGATCTTAACCCTTGACTTGGTGTTGTCAGCACCACGCTCTCCCAAGTGAGCCACGGGCTGGCCCTAAGAGATTCTGCACTTCTAACAAACTCCCAGGGGATGCCGATTGTGCTGGTCCATGGGCCACACTGTCAGTACAAGTGTTGGTCTTCATGGTGCACCATGCTGCTCTCCCCTTCCCCACATAATCTTGTCCATAGCCTGGGAGAATCCCATCAGTGCCTGGTCCCATCTGCCCTGGGGATCCCTGCTCCATCTTACTGTTGTACCCCCGTCCCTGCCCCGCTCAGAGCCCAGCACAGGATAGAAGAATGAATGAACCAGTCTGTAGATTTATCAGAGAAGCAAGTGTCAGATCAGATCTGTCTGAATCCAAAGCCAGTGCTCTTAACAAAGTAACTCTCTGAATTACTCAAGTAATTCACACATTTGTTCTCTTTACCACATGCTCTTAAACACAACTGGGGATCAGAAGGAAGTTTATGTTCTGATAGGCTGGTTAACATGGGGAATAAATGAAACCCACACATGGCTTGAGAATCCTGGCAGCCCTTAAGGAGGTAGGATGTCTGCCATTGGACCCATGCCTCCCCACGTCCCCCTAGCAGGTCTTTCTGTGGAGCTGATGTGCCCTCTGCCACCTCTTACCAGAACTGGTCTCCAGGTCTGTCTCAAGGCCGGTGTCTTTGGGGCTGGCTGTCCAGTCCCTGGGATCTTCTGAGGAGGCCATGCCGCTGTCACTGTGGCTACCCAGCTCTGGCCAGAGTGAAGCGGTCCTTGGCCACCTCTTCCAGGATGTAGCAGCCCCACCCTGGGACTAGACCTTTTATATTTACAGGATAGGGAGTGAATTCCATCAGGAGCCACAGGAACTAGCCTAGGGCAGTTAGGGGATTGCTTTGATCAACAAAGTTATGTCAACAGGATTATTGTTTGGTCCTGAGAGGCAGGCCTCCTACCAAACAGACAACTATTCTTCCAACTCTAGCTGCTTCCGGACTCTGGATAGGCCTCAGGAACCTTCTCATCCATGCCTCGGAGTCTTAACCTGTCATTATCTGGCTGCTTTATCAGCTTTTTTTTCCCCCCTTATCTAAGAACTATATGTAATACTGTTACTTAACATGTCCTTTGAGTCAACCAACTGTTTTTACTGAAAAAGAAATACTTTAAAAGGAAAGTTGGGGGCCGGCCCGTGGCTCACTCGGGAGAGTGCGGTGCTGATAACACCAAGGCCAAGGGTTCGGATCCCATATAGGGATGGCCGGTTCCCTCACTGGCTGAGCGTGGTGCTGACAACACCAAATCAAGGGTTAAGATCCCCTTACCGGTCATCTTTTTTTTAAAAAAAAAGGAAAGTTGGGAGCTGGCCGGTTAGCTCAGTCATTTAGAGTGCAATGTTATAAAATCAAGATCAAGGGCTTGGATCCCCATACCTGCCAACCACCAAAAACAAGTTGGTATTGCTACTGTGATTGCTTTTGTCCACATTTCCTTGCTCCCCAGGGCAGGACTTCAATCTTCCCCTGCCTGTCTGTCTTGGAGCTGACCATGAAGAAATTCAAAGGGGGCTAGATGCTTAGCTCAGTTGGTTAGAGCATGGTGCTGATACCACCAAGGTCCACAGTTCTATCCCTGTACTGGCCAGCTGGGGAAAAAAAAAAATCAGAAGGTGTCCTGCCCCATACCTGGAAAGGAAGAACGCTGCACAGAGAAGCCAAGAAGAATCTGAACCAACAGGCCTTGCTGGATTTCCCCGCTCAGTCTATTAGCTTTGTGCCTTACCCTTTTTGTGCAGTCACTTTTCTACATGGTTGTGCATGCTTCAGTTATGTCTACGTAATGAAGCTTCCATGAAAACCCAAAAGGACAGGGTTCAGAGAGCTTTTGGACAGCCCAACACATGGAGGTTCTTGGAAGGCGGCATGCCCAGGGAGGGCATGGAAGCTCTGTGCCCCTTCTAGACCTCGCCCCGTGCGTCTCTTCATCTGTATCCTTTGCAATATCCTTTATAATAAATGAGGAAATGTGTTTCCCTGACTTCTATGAGCTGCTCTAATGAATTAATAGAGCCCGATGAAGGGGTTGTGGGAACCCTCCTGATTCATAAACAGTCGGTCAGAAGTTCCAGAAGCCTGGACCTGTGACTGGCATCTGAAGTGGGGGCAGTCTTGGGGACTGAGACCTTAACTCGTGGGATCTGATGCTACCTCTGGGTAGCCTGTGTCTGAATTGAACTGGAGGACACCCAGCTGGTGTCTGCTGCAGAATTGCTTGGTGTGGGGAAAAAAACCCTCACATGTGTGATTGCAGGAGTCCTCTGTGTTGATTGTTGCTAAGACCACTGGAAAAACACTTGGTTCTGGTTTTTTTTCCCACTCAGCTACATGAAATGGAAAAGTGTCACCTACATATATAAAAGGTAACTATGCACAGTAGGTAGAATAACAGTCCCACCAAAGGTGCGAACCCCCTAATCCCCAGAACCTGTGAATATGTTGCAGTAGTCCCCCCTTATCTGCAGGTGATGTGTTCTAAGACCCCCAGTGGGTGCTGAGCTTTGTGAGTATACTCTGCTTATATCTATGCATACATACCTGTGATAAAGTTTAATTTATAAATTAGGCACAATAAGAGATTAACAACAATAACTAATAATAAAATAGAACAACTAAGTAAAATAAGGATTACTTGGGCTGGCCAGATATAATCAGTAGAGTGTGATGGCATTAACGCCAAGGTCAAGGGTTTGGATCCCTGTACCAGTGGGAGGGAGGGAGGGAAGGAAGGAAGGAAGGGAGG